ATGTTACTTTAATGTCATCTGCAACATTAAAAGGGAAAATTATATTCGTATTACTAACATCTACCAATTTTATTATACAACAAAGTTATTTTCCTGTCTTTGAAAATTATTAAAATGCAAGTTCTTAGGTATCATTTTTTAGAGTTCTTGGGTCCCATCTCTGAACCTCGTTTGCCTTTCAATTTATTTTCATTTTAATATTTATGCATTTTTATTGGAACTGTAATAACTATTAAATTATCCCTCGTGTTTATATGAAGAGACGTACGATATTAGCATTTTTATTGTATTGACAGTTATGGAACATTGGAAATAAAGCATTAAATATATATTCGCTTTAACAGCAGTTGAATCTACATTACGGTATATTAATACTGTGACCATTTTAAAAATATACTAAAATTCTGTCACGTTTGAATTTTTGTGTATAAATAATGCCATTGTGTATTAAATTGATAGAAACCGCATACCGTCTGAAAGTAATGATTAAAAAATAAAGCATCGTTTTTGGCCTCTACGTAATGTCAGAAGTGTACTATACAAATACAAGAATAATGTTTTTCCTTCTTTTATTTAAATAATTCTGTGTATTCATATTTCGGCTCAGATGGTATTAGAATAATGACATTCAGTTGATTACACTAAAAAAAAAAAAAGTCAAATATCAACACCGTTTCAATTACAGAGGAAAACACATTTTATTTTTTTTAACAATAAAATATTATCATAGCTTTTTGGAAAACATAATTATTATTATTATATCTATTGAAATATTTATGAATTTATAATAATCGAATTAAAATAATAATCTGAAGTGTCATGAAATTCAATTTTTGTTCAGCAAAGTAAATTTATTAAATATTCAATCGAATGGCAAACATCGAGTGTAAAAATCTATTATTTATGTTAGTAATTATTTGCAGCACAATATTATTTTAGTGTTACTATTGGTTCATATAAAACCGTGAATAAATTAAATTTAATAAGGCAATGCAAACATATTAGATATTTTATAAGGTTGTAGCATAAATAATGAAAATAAATTTACTGAAAACTAAGGGAAATGAGGGAATACATTACATAATATAATCACTTTTAGTACTTCTTTTATGGTTGTAGAGTATAATATTAAAATTGCTCAGATTTTCAATATAAATCACTCTAGATGATAATGTACAAGCGTTAATATGGTCATTTGTATTCAGCTCCAAACTGTATAATGACAAAGGCAATAATCCGGGGTTATAGGTGTTTGTATAAATTGACACTTATTCCTTTTTTTTTAAGCCAAATAGGTTTAATTTCGTACTTAAAATACATTAAACAGAAAGGTGAACAAGTATTGAAAATTTTCCACTATCTCATCCCTTTTTTTACGATTTACCGTAAAAGACAAAACACAAAAATGAATGTTATGACAAGATGTTATTGATTAATTTTTTTTTTCGTGGCTTCATAGAAAGATTTTTATTTGACTAATAGTAGAGAGGTGACGTTGATTAATTACAATCCCAAAGTTTTGTTATCATAAAATTATTGTATTCAAAATAATTTTCATTATTTTCAATATAAAATTAGTCTAAAATGATTACACAGAATTAAGTAATTGACAGTATTTTTATAACAACACACTAATTGTAATTATTAACAATTTTACTATTATTTAACTTTAAACATTATACATTTTAGAATTTTTAAAAGAAACGCTTTAATAAACGACTATTTTAAAATTAATAAGACTTATAAGAATTGTCAGTTAGATCTGTTACACTCTGTATATATATATATGTATTTAATTATACACAATATGTGTTCGTTTCATTAAATATTTTTTATTTGACTCTTATAAATTGACCGAAGTTAAATAGATAGATGTGTGCATGATAAGCTGTCAAAACAGTAATAAAAATATTTTTTTTCTTTTAATACTAAATTAGGCAAGACAATGCTGTAAAAACTTTATTGAAACTCAGTCAAACAAAACCAATTACCAAATGTTAAACAATTCGAAAAAGGCTATTAAGCGTAAAACCATTACATAAAATAAGTTGAAAATTCTATTTATGACTATATAATTCACCCCACGGATTAAATTATATGGTCACAGACGAGGCTCCGTGTGGATTACTTATTCGTGTGGGTTGTATTGATTTTACATTGTAACTATCCATTTTCTATTTTATTAACATAAATACTTTTGCTGTCGGAATTATGTTGAATATAGTTAATCCTTATCAATTTTAATCCTTTCCATTAAAGATTTACATTTAATATAATACACAAAAAAAGAAACAACGACGAAAATCAAAGCTTTGATTATAAACATTTTCTAATTGTGAAATCGTTTCAATAATTATGAATTTTTAGTTATACTCAAATAATAAA